CCCCCCGCGGCCGCCCCGCCCAGGCAGGGCCGAAATCTGCCGGCACGGGGCCGGCATTTCTCCCCGGTCCGCGGGGAACCGGCCTCCGTTGGTTCGGCCGAAGGCGCGTGTGGCCCGCCCCCCCCATTTCCCTCGCCTCCCGAGATCGAGCCTGCTTGTCTCGGACCTCCTGAAAATTCCCTCAGCCTCCGGCGGGAGGGAGGAGAGGCGGGGGAGGAACGGTCGCTCGGCCCAAGTGGGCCTGGCCAGCATGGGCGGCCGCCGTGGCGGCTCGTGACAATACTCTCCTCTTCTCCTTCTCACCGACCCCCCCTTCTCTCAGTCCCCCTTGCACCCTCCTGTGTCCGCCCCCCCCCCCCCTCTCGCATCTCCGCCTCCCCTCCTTCTTCCCCTTGTCCTTTTCTCGCCTCTCCCCGGGTCTCCCGCCTGCCGCCTCTTCACGCACGACAGTCAGCTAACCCTTTTATCCTCTTGTCGGGCTCGGCCGCACGCGCAGTGCAAGACACCCCTGAGAGAGAGGCCCCCTGGCCGGACGGACAGAGCGCTGCGGCTGGCCCCTCGCGCTCGGCTCTTTGATAGCAGCATGTCCTCCATGCATCCCTCCTCCTCGACTCTCTCTTCAACATCCTCCGGGGCACCCGGCGGAGGTGGACCCCCGGCGGCGAATGGAAGCACCGGCTCCGGGCCCCATGCGCCGGAGCACCCCTTTCCGCAGAATGTCGCCGGCGAGCCCTTCCCCACGGCTGGCTACCATCTACCGCCGGGGGATTGGTCCGGGTCAAGTGCAAACCGGTCGTCGTCCGGTGCGCCGCCATCCTCCCGGCCAGACCCCCATCCCCAGCAGTCGTATCAAGCGTCGCACTATCCCGGCTACTTGACGATGCCCGGCGGCCCGGCAATCAGTGCGGCATATGCCCCAGCCCCGGGCCCCAGTTACTCGGCCCGACTCCCCGGGGCAGAGTACGCCTTCCCCCCGGTGTTGGAGCACAATCCCCCGATTGGGGTCTTTGGCCCGTGCGCTCGCCCCTCCCCCCCTCCCTCTCCCAGGCTGGCTGTCGTGACCGAGCCATGGTTATGCTCCACTTCTTTGTTCTCCCCTCTCTCCCTCCCTTTTAGTCCTCTGCCCCCTCCCTCCTCCCCACTGTCTGCCCCTCTGTGTCTGGATGGCTGACGTGCTTCCTCCCTGCCGTACATCCCTCCCGGTCCTTATGCAGTGTTTATGCCCCGAGTGTGCATACCTTCGCGTCGTCAAGCCGGCCAGCCCTGACTCCGCGCGCACCACAAGCTGGCCGACATAGCCTCACCTCTCGTGAGCGTGTCCTCCAAACCCACCGGGCAGCCAACAGCACCGGAGGCGGGGCCCCAGCCGTCAAGCCGGTCGACCCAGGGCCACCGGGCCTCGTCGGTGTCATGCCCGAGTCCACCCCTGGAATGGCATCCCCGGAGGCATCTTCACGAGTTGCATCGGGTCGTGCTCAGTCCCCGCCATGCGATCTGATACCCACAATCTCCGTGACGCCAGTCGGCGGGCTCGCCCCGATCGCCAGCACCGCCGGCGTGCTGGTTCCCCCCACTCCATCCCCCACGATGGGCACTGCCATCGGGTCGGCCACCGCCACCACCACTGCCGGGTCTTCTGCATCGTCCCCTTTGCCACCGGCTACCATGGTGGCGGTGGCGGCCATGGCGAAGCCCTCGGCCAGCGACTCGGCCGAGGCCCCCCGGTCAACAGACAGGACACTCGCTCGTGTCAAGCACCTGCCGCCGAATGTCCCAGCGGGTCCGGTCGCTGAGGACCGGCCCCGGGCGGCGCTTGTGTCCACTCTACAATCCCTGCCTCGCGGGGTCGTCCACCTCACCAGCCAGGGGCAGCGTCAGCTGCTGATGGTTCCGGTGCCCGGGCCGATGGAGTCCGGGCCTGCTGACACCGGCCGCCTATCGGTATGTTGCCTTGCCCTGTGCCTCTCTCCCGTGGGCATTTTCCTTCTCCTTGTCTCTCTCCCTCTCCCTCTCTCTCTCTCTCTTGAGCCCCCGTGTGGGTGTATACACGCATGCGCGCGCGCACGCACGCACGCACGCACAGCACACAGCTGCCCCCCCCCCCCCGCACACACAAACACACATGCGCGTGCACACATCCCCCTCATATCCGCACCCTTCTGTTCCCTCACCTCCGTTCTGGCTGCGAATCCAGTTTTGGGTATCACTCGGGTCGATGATGCCACGGCTGAACCTGAGCGACGTGTGGGACGCCTTGGATCGGCAGGACTCCAGATGCTTGTCGCTGGTGTGGTTCGGCGTGTCGCAGCCCGAGGACAGTTCCTCCTGGCTTGCGTTGCAGTTCCGCCTTCGGCCCTTCTCCTTGCCGGTCCCCCGGAATCATCGGCTCTTTACTCCCTCTCGACGCGGGGCCATTGCCCTGTCCTACTTGCCGGCTTTGGGCGGATCTACCGGGCCCGGCGACCGGTCGCAGTCGGCCACTGATGGGTCATTCAACCTGTCGGACGTGCCCTTTGGGTATATGGGCTTCGATCCGCAATTGGCCTGCCAGCCGGAGGACATCCTCTCCAATCAGGCCATCTCCTCCGGGTACCTGTTCACCTCGCCAGTAAATGATGTGCGTGCCTCGTGTTCACACCTGTGGATGTGTTGCCTCATCCGATGGGGTTGTTGATGTTGCTTGGGCCCGGGTTCTGACGTATGCACGCGATTGGCTTCCCTTGCGTCTCCCTGCATCTCCCCACGTCTTCCCGCCTTCCCGCCTTTCCCTCTGCTCCTGCCCTTCTTTTCCTGCCCTCCCTGGCACAGGAAAATGGCTCCCTCGTGGTCAAGATGGACACGCTTTTTTGCAATGACCCAGCCGGCACGCTGGTCAACAACATGAATATCCTTGCACGCGCGATCAACGCCACTCGAGATCAGGTCCGTTGCCGGCGTCGGCCCTGGCGCCCTTCTCTGCGCATCCATGGGTTGGCACTTTCCCATCTCCTCTCTTCTCTCCGGCCCATCTGTTGCCCCACGTCCCCTTCTGCCTCACCCTGTGCCCCCTGCCGCGCACATGCACTTACACTTCCACACACATACGCACGCGCACATACATACATTTTTATTCATCCCCCCTCGCGTAGGAGATGATGGTGGTCTCCCTGCGCTCATCCTTCTTTCCGCCTCTGCCGGCGGATGAATTTTTCGCTCGGTCACTGCCACCACTGCAGGACTCCCATAGTATGGGGGATGTCCTGCTAACTCCCTCGCCCGAGGGAATATCCTTCCTCGGGACGTCGGTGGATCTCGGCAGCTCGGTCCCCCCCTCCGGCCAGCAGCAGCAGCAGCAGCAGCAGCAGCAACAACAGTACTATCACAACCACTACCACCACCACCAGCAACAGCAGCAGCAGCAGCAACAGCAGCAGCAACAGCAACAGCAGCAGCAGGCACTCCCGGTCATTATTGACATGACTGGTGCCACGCCGGGTGCCATTTTCACAGGAGCAGATGCCTCCGCGTCGCCGGAGCTACGTTCGCGCAAACGGACCTCAGGATCCGGCCATGCATCGCCAATGGTGTCGGCTCCGACGAAACGCCTGCGCCATGGGTCCGATGCAAGCACCGCCCCCTCCGTAGGCCTGTGCTCGTGCTGCGCGGCTCGCCGGGAACCGGGCGGCCCCGGCGGCTGCCAGTCTTCCTCCGGGCCCTGTGACTGTCCCCCTCCTGTGGGGGGCTGTTCTTGCTCCTCCTCCTCCTCCTCCTCCTCCTCCTCCTCCTTTGTCGTCCCCTTTTCCGAGGACACCCCTCGGGCCGAGTTAGATGGCCCCGGTGTGCCATTCATCCAGCCTTCGCCGCTGTTGGTATCCCCTCGGGCATGGCGCCAGGCGCAACACACGGACCGGCGTCTGCCATTGCCCTCGGCCGAACAGGTGGCCGCCATGCGCTGCCATCTGCCACTGCCATGGGCCTCGGCCCCGGTGGATGAGATGCGCTGGCTGTCGCTCTTTCTGGCCAGCTATGTCCCGCTGTCGACGCTGGCGTCGGTATTTTGTTGTCCGTCGCTGGTGCCGGCGGACCGGCGCGCGGCGCCGGCTCCCGGGCTGCCGGCCGGCGCGGCCAGCTCCCGGGCACTCATTCTCCGGGGTCTGCTGGCAGCGGCGCCGCCGCCGGAGGAATCGGAAGAACGGCCACCGGCCGACATCGGCCCTGGCGGTCGGCTCATCAGTGCCCGGCTGCTGCGGACGGTGGTCCACTCGCCTCGGGAGGCTCATCATTTGTCGGCGGCGGCCTTCGAGTCGACTGTCTGGCGGTTGCTGCTTTTCCTGTCTTCCTATCAGATTTCCTTCGCCCGGGCGGACTGGCTGGTGCGCATGATCCAGCTGTACTCCTTCTTCGGGTCGAGTGGCCGCGTGGCGGTCGGTGATCAGCCGGCCCCGAGTGGCGGTCCGCCGCTCCTTCGCGGCCATACCGTGGCACTGGTGGACCACCTGCTGCAGGCGATGGCTACCACGCCCTGGCTGGCAGCCGGGCCTGGGGGCACCCTCTCGCGGCACCATCTCGGCATGATGCAATACGCCATGGTGCTGGTGGAGTCGGATAGCCGGCGATTCTTCGGCCAGCTACGCAAAACCGGTGTCCTGGCCTACTCATCGTCGGCCTCACAGCAGGCGGTGGCCCTTTCGGTTGACTGGACCGTGTCGTTACTGTCCAATGCATCGATGTTCCTGGCCAGTCTCTTCTCGGATCAGGCCGCGGTACGTGCACTTGGCCCGTTGATCTCCCTTGCGGGCGCATTGCCCTCCCCCTTTCTTTCTCTTTCTCTTTCTCTCTCTCTTTCTCTCTCTCTCTCTCTCCTTTCCTGTTCCGCGCCCTGGACCCTGTCTCTGGCACTCATGCTTCGGGGTTGTATTTGCCATGTTCCCCGGCCATCGGTTCCGCCTCTCCCCTCCTCCGACGTGTAGCCTCTCTGTGAGACGCAGTGCAGTTTTTGGACATACCTGATCAAGCTGATTTACTGGCAGCTCCATAGCCCGGGGCTCATCGATGAGCGTTTCCTGCTGACCTGGCTTGTGGACCAGCTCGCGTGCGTGCAATCCACTCGAGACCTCCGGGGCTGTGGCCGCTTTGGCTTTTTTTTTTCTTTTCGCCCCCCTTTCCCTGCGTGCCCTGCCTGGAGCCACCAATCGCGAGTACTGGCCACTGATTTGCATTTTGCCCTTCGCGCACAGCTTTGCCGTGAATGAGCTCTTCTCAGATGTGAGCCCCACCCCGGAGTATGCCCGGTGGCGGGCGGCTTGGTCGCCGGATCTCGGGACCGCCGACGTGACGGGTGGTGCCTCGGCATCGGACGATGCGCCGGCGGCGCCAGCGCCAGCCGCCGCCGCCCCCGCCGCCGCGGCCACGCCTGCTACTCCAGCCACCCCCTTGGAGGATGAGCGTTTTCCCTCGGCAGCCCGGTCCTTTGGGATCTCCTCGGATCTGCGCTCGCCACCGAGCAACTTCGGCGGGGACGGCCTTTCCCCGGGGAATGGAGTGCCGGACCGCCTGAACCTCGGTGCCACTGGCGCCGGGGGCTCCATGCCGGGGGGCGAGCTGGTCGGTGGTCGGCCCGGGTCCGAGGGCTACGGATCGCCCCTGCCCTCGGGCTTGGCTGAGTCGCAGTCTTCCCCGGTCCAGGTCCTTCCACCGGCCGAGCATCACCATCTCCATCACCATCAGCCGTCATACCAGCCGCCGCCACCGCCGCCGCCGCAGTTTCAGAAGCCGCTGCCACAGCAGCCGCAACAGTCGCAGAAGTCGCAGCAGCATCCGTATCGTCATCATGGCCAGCACGGCCAGCACGGCCAGCACGGTCAGCACGGCCACCACCACCCCTCTCCTGGTCCTTCACACCATGGGGTCACCCTCCCGGCGGATGGCCCGACCATTGATTTGACCGCCGGATCGCCCGGGCATCCGGCACCCGAGGCCCCCCCGGGGGGCGCCTTCCAATCGCCGGCGGCCGAGCCGGCCGGGCCCCACGACGACATGTCGCCCGCCTTTACAGCGGTCCGTCGACCGGGCCTGCGCCTGGCCATGGTGTTGCCATTTGTCTTTCGCCTGTTGCCCTGGGTCCGGCGATCTTCAACACACACCCGGTGCGTCTGTCTATTTGTCTGTCTGTCTGTTTCTCTTTCTCTTTCTCTCTCTCTCTCTCTCTCCTCGCCCCTCCCCGACCTCCTTTCCTTGTCTGCCGCTGAGCTCTCTTGTCCTGACCGCCCTCTTGTCCCCCCCCCCCGGCGCCGCCTCAAACAGAGCCATCCTTTCGCTCTTCATCGACCTGCTGAATCACCCGCTTTTCTTGCTGCTACGTGACTCCCTGGAGCCGGGGTCGCCGTTGTGCGGGAGTGCAGCCGGCCTAGCGCCAGACGTTCCTGGCGAGGGCCCGAACCCGCCGGAAGGCGTCTGGCCGGTGGGCCATGCCGCGGCGGATGCGGGGACCTTCGCCCCCGGCGTCACTCCCCCCCAGGCGCCTGACCCCAGGCACCGGGCGCGCCAGAAGATCTGCGATCTACTTGCGGTCATTGGGTCTTGGTATGGGCTCATCGCGCGGGGGTTCATCTACTTGAGCCTACACGCATGTGACTTGAGTCTCGGTACGTACTCTTCCGCTCTCTCTACACACGCACGCACGCACGCACGCACGCACGCGCGCACGCACACGCCACATCTACGCGCCTGGGGTCCTTCGTCATTGATTTCCCTCTCCGGCCACGGCATACGCGCACACCTGTGGACGCGCCTATTCACTCACCTCCCCCAACATAATTGTGCACACACGCACGCACATGCGCGATCCCCTCCCTGTCATGCCCACCTTCGCACCTCTTCCCCCCTCCCCCACGTCCCGTCAGTGACCCCGCTGGAGTTTGGTCACCCATCGGACTTGCCGGAGCTCAACCAAAACCAACGAGCAACCCTGCCGGGCGTTCAGCGAACGCGGGCCCTCAGCCACGCACTCACCTGGGAGCGTCTCTGGCAGGGGCTCGGCCAGCTGGGCCTGCAGTTGGTCTTGGCCGAGACCGGGCCCCACTTGCTGAATGTGATCACCTCCTCGACGACTGGTGCGTCAAACATCGGGCATTGTCCCTTCGTCCCTGCCATGTGTCCTGATGCCACTGACCCGCCATCGGCCGCGTGGATAGCTGTTGTTTCGTCGGTGACCAGGTCCCTGGCCCAGGGGTTCCGTTGGCCGGAACTGGCCAACGACAAGCTGAGCGCCATCCTCAGTATGCGGTATCCGCCGGAGCCGGCGGGCGTTCGACGCCTGTTCGACATGGCCGGACTGACGCAGCCCGGGGCCGGGGTCGCCCGGGCAGCCGGGGCCGGGCCAGGCGACGCAGCCCCCCGGTGCTCGAACTCCCCCGGACCGGCGGGTGCCGATGCCCCACGGGCGCCGCCCAGTTCTCGAGGTGCGAGGAGTTCGTTCTTCTGGGGGGGGGGGGGGGGTGGGGGGGGGTGGGGGGTTCGCGGGGGGGGGGGGGGGGGGGGGGGGGGTACATGTGTTCTCTCCGGGCCTTTGAGTCTCGGCCACTGACCGGTCAAATTTGCCCTGCCCTTCCTCGGATCGACAGCGGTGCCGGGCCCCCCCTCGAGTGGTGCGCTCCTGGAGCCGGTCAGTGCCGGGCAGCACAGTTTCCTGTCGCAACTGTCGCTGGCAGCCATGACATCCTCCACGCCGGTGGACCTGATCCAGCGTCTGCGGGACATCGCTCGAAATGCCGGGGAGGGCCAGTTCCCGGTGGCCGTGCGGCTGCTTTGTGTCTGGTCCGGGCTGCTGTCGGTGTCCGTGAGCCCCCTGACGTCGGAGCATACACTGAGGGTGCAGCCGCCGACCCTGGCCACCCGGGCTCCGGGGTGCCTCATTTTTTGCGGGCTGATGCTGCGCGAGCTGATTGCCCACGCTGGCGAGGTGCAACAGCCCCCTGGTGGGGGGTCCTGCCAGCGATGTGCCTACTTGGAGCAGGCGGCGCCTCGCCAGGCGGCTGGGCCGGGCCAGGCGGCGGAATCGCCGGGCCGGGTGCCAGTTGCCCCGGTGGGTGGGCAGCTTTGTCCGGTGTGCGCGAGGCAGTTGGCCGGGCGGCGGCAGCGCCGGGCGGCCATGGTTCAGGCGTTCCTCGAGCGCCTGCTCCAGGGGGGGTGGATGGAAATCCTCCCGCCGGGGTCCATGTCGCCGCCGGTGCCGGGCTCCGGGACGTCGGTTACCCGGCTCGGGCCGCCGACCCAGCCTGGCGGCCCCCTGCGCCCCGGGGGCGGACTCTTCCAATCGGCCCTGAGTCTGGCATGCTTGGTGTCGGTGCTGTCGAGTATGGGAATATTCTCCTGGCGCAGCTTCATGCGGAGCCTCATTTCCGGAGGTCTAGGCGCCCGGGGGGCGGCCGAGTGCCACGGCCCGGGCGAAATGCCCGATGCCACGGATGACAGCGGTCGCACTCGGGCCCCGGGCGGCGGCGGCGGCGGCGGCGGTTCGGCCAGTGCGATGGCCAGCACCCCGGGCGAGACTTCGCCAGGGACTCCCGCCTCCACGACCCCCCCTCCCGCCCCCGGGCTCGGGCCCGACCTGACACCCCCGCCGCGGCCCTGCTGGGCGCTCTTCTTCCTGGACAATATCCTGCCGGCCGAGGCGGTAGGCTGCCTGCTGGACGGGACGCCCGTGGAGCCGGCCGAGACGCAGGTGACCCTCATGGAGCAGCGCATGGCTCGAGGGCAGTTGGTGGCGGCTTGCTCGTGTCCCCGGGGCACGGGCCCCGACTCGGCCCTGGGGTCCGGGCATTCGGCCGCTCTCTTTGACGCGGAGAAGTTCCCCTGCCGGCATGCCCCGGCCCTGGTGGCGTCGACCCCGGTTGCACTGCATCAGTATGTGCGGCACACCATGGCCCACCTGGAGTGGCACCTGGCCGAGCCCCATGCCGGGCCCTTTGTCGGTGGCTGCGGGGCCCTGCACCTTGCGCTGGACCTGACGCACAGCTGCCTGAACCTGGGGCTACTGACGTCGGCCATTGAGGTGCGTGCTGTGTGCTCTTTTTCCGGAGTTCTCTCTCCCCCCCCCCACCCTCTTACTGGCCTCACCTCGGCCACTGACACAAGCACACCGACATGCATCTATGGCCACATGCATCTATGGCCACATGCATCCATTCCCTGCCCCGCCGGGGTCATGTAGCTCGGCCTGACCATCATCAAGGTGTGCACGCAGCTTCGCACACGGCCACCCCCAGCCGTGGACCATGCCTCGGCCATGGGGGTTGCCTGCGACCTGGGGTTCTTGCGAGGCTACTGTCCACAGGCGGAGCCCTTCCGCGAGATGGTCGTCGACCCGGGAGCCGCGCCGGCAGCCGAGTGGATGCCCTTTTGTCCGCTGGTGGCCAGCCGGTCCGTCTGCCAGATGGTCGAGGACTTGGTCGCGTCCGGGCTCTTCCCGGCATCGCACATCCACTCCGTGCGGGGCACGGTCCTTCAAATGGTGCGCCCATCATGCGGCTGTCCGACGGCTGGGTTTGTTGCATTTTTTCCTCTTTCACCCGTGGCTCACATGCGACTTCCCGTGCGCTCGCGGGGGCCGGTGTCCTGGCTTTCGTCAGCTTCGCGACCAGTTCCAGGGCAGCCTGCAGGTCCTTTGTCCGCTGCTGAGTCGGCTGTTTTGCCTGATCTGCTCGGAGACCGCCAGTGCGGTGCTGGCCCCGGAGGGGCTGCGCGGCGGCAACCCCGCCGGCATCCGGCAGCTCCGCAATGCGGTGACGGTCATGCGGCGCACCGGGTCCGGGCGGCTGCTCCCTCCGGCCGGGCTTCCGCGGGTGTCTCTGACCCTGGATGACTTCCGGTGTCTGTTGGCGTCCACCTCCCCGGCGCAGGGGGCGTTTGTTGCCCACGGCCCCGGGGGGCCTGGCGGGCCCGCCAATGGCGAGGCTCATGTCTATGATTTCGGCAAAGGCGCTGGCGGCGGCACTGGGAGCGGGGTTGCCGGCACCCCGACGGCCCTCCCGCCGAGTGGGTCTGGGCCGATGCCTTTCCTGCCGGCCGGCGACCGGCGGGAGCACATTTTCCAGGTGGTCTCCTCGATGGTGACGCTGCTGGCGTATTGCCCGCCGATGGAGCTCCCACTCATCTTCATGGAATCCCTGCGCTGCTTCTTGGAAACCACGGCTGCTGGGTATGTTATTGTCTGGCTCTTTAGCGTGCTGTTCCTGGCGTTGGGCATTGGCCTCATGCTGGTCATTCGTTGACATGACTCTCGGTTGGGTCTCCCCCTCCCCCCGCCTCCCCCTTCGGAAAGGCTCTTCTCCACGCCCGAGCTGTCGTTCATCCTGACCCGACTGGCCGATGCGCTGGCCTCCTCGTCGGAGGACCTGGTATGGGTCAACCCGCACCATGGGACCTCGACAAGCAGCACCGGGCTGAGTGTCCGAGTGCCGGAGCTCCTCACCCAGTCTCTGGCCTACCTCATCATCGATGAAGGTGCGTCTCGCTGTTTGTCCCTCCTCGTGCGCCTGTCGCGTGTGACCGGCCCCTTAAAACTGCAGTGGGAATGGGCGCCTGCAAGCGACTGCCTGTGCATCTCGCCCCTCTCTCTCTCTCACACACACACACACACATACTCACACGCACACGCACGCACGCACGCACGCACGCACGCACGCGTATGCATCAATGTCCTGCCCATGGTCTGCCTGCTGATGTGGGACAAAAGATCCGGCCATTCGCCAGACCGCCTGTGCGCTCGGGGTGATGCTTGTCTGCCAGACTCAGCTGGCCAATAGCGCAGCCGGGCGTCTGCTCACGGCCGAGGGGCTGGCCACGCTGGCCCTGCGCGCAGTCCGGCCCCTGGCCCAGCATCTCCTTGCGCCGGAGGACGGGGACCCGGTGAGCTTTGTGGCGGGCATGCTTCCCCGTCACTGGCCGCAGGCGGCTCCTTCTCCGGGTCCCGAGTCGCCTGAGTGGCCATCTCCGGGGGGCGCCGAGACCGAGGGGATGCCCTCGCCTAGGCTGGGCACCTGCGCAGGAGGCCCATGTCCCGGACCGCTTGCTTGGACTGGGCTGCCGGCCGAGCTGGCCCGGCGGCTGGATGCCCTGGCTCTGGTCACTTGTCTTCTGGTCCCGAATTCGATCCTCTGGTCGCGGGTCATGGAGGCGACAAATGTCACCGGCAATGCCCCGACCAGCTCGGCCGGCCGGCAGTGTGACGCCTGCGCCGAGATGCAGCGGGCGGCCGGGGCCCGGCGCCGGGCGGCTGCTGCCCACTCTTTCGGCGGCGACCCGGCCCCGGACGCCGGGCTGCACTTTGTCTCGGGCCCCGGGGATACGTCCCACGGGGTGGACTTTCTCCGCCTGTGCGGGTCACTTGTCCGCCTGTGCGGGGGCCCGCTGGCCCTGGCGCCGCTCTTCCAGCTGGCCGGCTACACCGGCAGCGGGCCCTCCTTCCGGCCCAACAAGACCCAGCCCCCGGGGCTGATGGGCATTCTTTGGCTCCGGTGCCTTGCGGTGCGTGAGGCAGCCGGGCGGCGTAAAACAAAAGGGGCGGTAGGGAGGGAGGGGGGGGGGGGGGGCGGAGGAGCGACAACGCTCAGCATCAGCATGCCCGTTTGCCTTTCTCCTGGCGGCGCCCGTGCTGTCCTCGTGGATAAGACACTGACCAAGCTCCCTGATGCTGCTTCTCCTGCTGATGCTGCTGCGCCTGTCACTGCCGCTGCCGGTGATGCGGCCCGTCGCACTTCGTCGGGCCAATCACAGACGGTCTTTTCGCTCCTGCGACTGTCGGGCTTCATGGACCCGGTGGTCGGGTCCTCCCTGCGGGACTTGGCCGCGCCCTTCGGCCTGCTGGAGTCCGAGGCGGAAGAGGCCGAGGATAAGAGCCGGCCGGTGCCGCGGCACCGGCCGGCTTATTCGACGCGGGCACTGCTCCATCTGATGGTCATGCTGCAGCTGCGCGATTTGGCCAGCTCCATCCTGTGTCACCTGCTCGGCGCCACGGCCTCACGCCAGGCGATGATGGCGCTCATGGTCGATGATGGGCCTGCTGACGACCAGTCGGCCTGCCAAGCCGGCGGCGTGCCTCGCTCGCCGGTGGACTTCCCCGGCCAGCCGACCCTCTCCCGGTGGCAGGTCTTGGCCTTGATGGCGGATGCGGCGCCCGGGACCTTGCGACATTCGCTGGACCTGTGCTTCCAGTTGGCGTTCCCGCCACTGGCACGGCCGTCCGGGCCACCGGTCGGACCGGCACTGGTGGTGGGCTGGATCGGGCATGCCCTGGCCGAGGGAAGGCCCTCGGAGGAGGCGCAGCTGGTGCTGGCCCTGGCGGACATGCTGCTGAGCGTGTCGATCGGGGGCCCTGAATCGGGTGCCACGCTGGGAGGCACCGGCGTCCCCCGGGCCCTGCACGCCCAGCGATCCATCCCGGCCCCCGGGCGCCCGGTCAATGGGCTCCTGGCGCAAACGGCCTCCTCCTTCTGCCCGTGGGCCATTCTCGGGTCGGTGGTGTCGGTGCTGCAGTTGCTTCGGCTGCCGGCGCACCTGCCGGAGGGGGACCTGCAAGTGCTCTTGCAAAAGGCGGGGCCCGAGTCGGGGTCGGCGGCCACGGCGCCAGCGGCAGCCATTCTCAGCCCGGACCCGGCGGTGCATCACCCTCTCGGTCCCTTCCTGGGCGGGGTCCCGCCAGCTGGGGCCAGCCCGTTGGTCTTGCTGTCGCATCTGATCGGGCGCCTGGTCAATCAGGGTCTGAGGCGACTGCCGCGCTTGGCGGCGCCCGGGCACTCGGCCGGCTCGGCGGCGGTCATCGCGGCAACGGCGGCTGCCGCGGCCGCGGCCGCGGCCGCAGCCGCTGCCACCCCCGCTGCCACCGCGACGCCCGGGCCAACGGCCCCGGAGGTCGGGGCTTCGGGGCCCGGAAACAGTGCACCGGCCCCCACGGTGGCAGACCAGCTGCGCCCCGTGTCGCTGATCCCCCTCGGTCTGGTGGCGGCCAGCTCGGTGGATCCCTTCTGGCTGGCCTGGACCGTGCTGAGCCTGTGTCTGAGTTTGGGCTACATGTCGGTCCTTGAGGCAGTGCGTGCTGGTTCCGTGTGCTTTTGCTGCCTCTCCCGCTGCAGCCGGCCATCCTGCTTTCCGGTCCCCCTCGCCTTTGCTCCTTGCTGACGCCTTTCTCCCCCTCCCTCCTCATCCGGCTCTCCCCTGCGCCTGCGCCTCCCTTGCTCGCTGGGACAGTTTATTTGCATGGTCATTCGCCAGTTGCAGCAGGAGGTTCGTCGAGTCCTCTTCCACTCGCGGCTGGTTCCATCACAGAGACCGGCCCCCCCGTCGGGGGCCGCACCGGGCGCTCCATCGAGCACTGCCCCAGGCGGGGACCCGGGTGCCAGGCCGTGCGGCGAGTCTGGCGCCGATGGGTCGGGCGTCCCGACGCCGGTTCCTTCTCTGGCCGGATTGCTGGCGCTGCTGGAGCTCGCCATGGAACTCCTGCCCGAATTCCTATCGCAGTCCACCCTGGAGCTCCTGCTGCTCCTGCTTGGCGAGCTATCCACGGTCATGGAGGAGTTGGTTCTCTTTGTGGAAGTACGTGCCCGTGCTCAGTGATGTGCCAGTCTGCCCTTGTTACATGCTGCCCGCAGATGCTGCACACACAAGCACAAGCACATGTTGCCCCAATCAGTCACTTACCTCCCATATACCCCCAGATCCAGGAGCCCATGATCGTGGTGGCTGCGCGGGCCATGCCACCGCAATTCCACTGGTCCCTTTGCCCATCTTGCCGGCAGCAGCTCCGACCCTTGCAGACGGAGCGTCTACATTCGGCACCGGCAGTGATGCCCTACTGGCCGATGGACCCTCCGGCCACCGGGCCGGCTCGGCCGCCCTGCCGGTGCTCGCTTTGCCCCTCGTGCCGGGTTTGCCTGCGTCAGGGGCTCCCCTCGGATCCGCTGCACTGTCGGTGCCTCGACTCGGACGCTTGGTTCATCTACTCCATCGGGACATGGTGCGTCGGGCATGCCACTCGCATGTGGCCATATGCCGGCCTTCCGGCGGGGCAGGGCACTCGAAGGGGCATGGCGAGGGGCCGAAAAGGGCGGGCAGACAGGGGCAAAAGCCCGAGACACAAGCAACCGAAGGAAACTCTGGGGCCCCCCCCCCCCCCCCCGACTCCGATCCACCAGCGCGACGGTCCTCCTGAAAAGTACAGCCCTCCTCTTCCAGAAGGTGATTGCCTGTCCCCAAAAGGCCACTATCCCGCCGGCAGCCGACACCGGCCTCCCCTCGCAGGATATCCTCGATGGCTTCACATCCAACCGGCACATCATGGCATATGGCCGGGCCCTTTTCGGGTTCCTGACTGTGCGTGCCGCACCAGTGTCCCCGCTCGCGGCCGCGTCCTCGGCATTGGTCCCTTCCTGACCTTTCCCTCCCTTTCCTCCCCCTCCCCCTCGCTCTGCCTCCCTCTTAGATGCCGATGTCCTGCATGGACTCGATCAATTACAATGTCCACACATTTGAGGCTCTGTCGCAGACGGCGGACAGCTGTGCCTCCAGCGCGGCCTCCATTGATCCCCTCTTCTCGGATGCTCTGGTGCAATTCAACAGCGTTTATGTGTGTGCGTAATCCGGCCGCCTCCCGTGGAGGGAGAGAGACCCGGCTGCTTGCTTGCCTGCTTGGCTGCCTGCCCTTCGCGCCAACGCCCGCACCTCGCACCCCGCACCATGGCGCCCTCCTCACCGTGCATCACCCCCTCTTACGACCCCCCCCCCCTGCGCGGGGTATGCCATGGCCGGCAGCTCTCACGCTGCAGGAACAGTCGTCCATCCTCTTCGGGCATGCGGTGTCGGCCGACACTTGCCGGGCCCTGGCGAACCAAACGCCACTGGAGCACATGCTGGCGGCATATCGCGCGGCGGCACAAGCGGCCGCGGCCGCGGCCGCCACAGCCGGGCCTGGAGCCCCTGCACCGGCCGGCCCGCCGGCCGTCCGCTGGCGCCTGGTTCCCCTGCTCGGGGGGAATCGTCTTGCGCGGTTGCGCGAGACATCGGCCCGGCGCGGAGGCAGCCACCTGTCAACCGGGCCCCGGTCCGGGATCTACTCGCGCTACTTGCGCTTTTCCATGGCCCTCGGCTCACTGCCGCCCAGCCCGGCGGCCGATCGCCTGCGGGGCAGCATTCGCCAGGGATCCATGGTCATCGGGGACGTGGTGGTGCCGCCGGGGCAGCCGCGGCGGGCTCCCATTGTCCGGCTGCTGGACCCGCGGGTGATGATGAACCGCCTGGCCGGGTCTTCGGAAGGCATGTTCCCGGAGCTGGCCTCCTTCATTGCGGGGCTTGTGTCGGACCCGAACTTCGCCGCGGTCAGTGGCAACCCCTCGATGACCACCGCCGGGCCGGAGTCTTTCTCCCCCTGGTGGTCGCTGGTGTCGTGCTACCTGATGCCATTACAAG